AAGATTCGAATCAATAAAGAGTCGGTCGTCCCATCACTACTCAACAAAAACAGGAACTCAAAACAGATATCCCAGCATTCCCTAGCTAGGCTGAAATGATTAGTCTATGGCACAACCAAGTTACCAAAATACTTTAGTAGTATTACACATATAAACAACATATAATCTACCCTCCAAAATCATACATGATTAATACAGAGTTACAGACTGAACTACCACAGGTCAACCAAAATAATCAAAATAACAAGGAAGGACACAAGGAAAGGCTTCACCTCATTTTGTACATTTGACTGCTTCACTTTTTTGACCAGTAGAAATGTAATTGTGCTATGTCAAAATACAGTATGTTAATGGTGGAGAGTGACACTAAAACAATTAAAGAGTAAATGCCTTTGAATAAACACTGAAAGGAAAGCTAAACTGACAAGTCCAAAGTTATGACCTCTTGGTTGGCTGTGGGTACTGCAGTCACTCTCAGCTGGTAATTAATTCACTGTATGTATGTCTACTTTAACTTATTTTAGAGCAACATCTTTTACATCAATTTGAAATGAAAAAAAGTTTACAGGAACAGTATAAGCATAATACTGATTTTGGTTTAACGCTTGTAGATAAAGCATGTAACTCCACAGTAATCTGGAGAAACCATACAGGCACATATTCACACACATTTAAATCCTCCAACATATGTCGCATACATTCAGATCTCCCTGGAGTCCCCTGAGGCTCCAGTCCTGACAGCAAGGCTTTAGACGACCAGTCAAGAGAAACCTTCTTTTGTAACTTTATATCATTTGTACACTACCTGGAGGAGCTGATAGACATTAGGGCACAAAAATGGAAAGGGACTAAAAGGACTTTAGATCCAGTTACGCCATCACATTTACATTAACCAATAATTTTGTACCTATGCAGACTTAACATAGAGTCCTCCCAGAGAGAGGGGAGAGAAACTGAACTTCTGCAATAACCTGTCCTCCATTCTGTTTGGGCTACAGATGCTCAGTGAGCCAGACTTTACACAACTTAATTATCTATTTTGCAGGCACATTAAATGTTCTCTTCATGCAGATTTCAGGAGTAATTATAGTTTTTAGGACATTTTCTCCTGGGCACTTTTTTAAAGATACAACAGAGGTCACATGATGCTGTTGAAATTCAGGATTGAACAATGGCTTATTTAACATTACTACCTCTAGATTTAACGGTTTATTGGTGATGTTTTTGTCGCTCAGACCATTGACTGTGTCAGACATGTGACTATTTGAAATCTTCTGATAAAGATTTGCTGTAATTATTGTTACATCTACCGGCTACTGTCCAACAATGATGTGATATATAGCTTGTATTTTTTTTCTTTAATAAAAGCTCATAAATCAGTGAATGTGCAACTGCATGGATTTCAACATAATCAAAAAAAATTGTGCAAAAGAGAAGTTTATTATGTTAAGAGAGAGAGAAACATCAGATTTTCTGCTACACGCAGCTTTGGTGTAGATAACCACAGATTATTATTGATGATGGATGGTACGACAGAGGGGAGGAGGAGAGGAAGGGGAGAGGGGGCAAAACTAGACAGGATGACCAGCACAAAACTAGCAACTACATGGTTTGTGTTGAGTAAACTTTCAATTTCTTTAATGTCACAAAAAGTTAAAAAGCGAAGAAAAAAAATACATTTATACAAACAAATGGTTTATTAAACAATGCATCATTGTTAACCACAACTGCTGTCTTTCAATAGTTAGTTATTTTTGTTTTTGTATTGTTCTCTTATGTCACACATATACAGTATATGATATCCTATATATTTATTTCAGAATATGAACTGTATTATTTGTGTGTAAACAAAGGATAAACATGTTTGAGTTCCTGTCCCATCATCACATGTTTTTTTAAAAACCTATACCATTAAATGACTCATAAATCTTGTTTTTCCAATTTAAAAACTATGAACTATATGTGTACTGAATACATACATGGAGCAGGTAATCAAAGAGAAAAGAAACGTAACACTGATGGTAAAGTACCTACATTTGGTCACATGACACACTAATAACATCGCATACAGTAAATAAAAAGACACAGCATTTCTTTCTTTCTCTGCACAGTACAACTTATGCTCGTTC